AAAATCTTTCCTTAAAATTTTACTGTTCTGACAGGGAGCAGTCCCAGCATTCCCAGTCTTTTCAAATAACTGAAGTCCTCACCTCAGATACCATTTCAGTAAATTCCGCTGCACCCTCTCCAAGATCAGACACCCTTAAAATATGGCACCCAGAATTAGACATCACTCCAGTTAGAGCCTAACCAATGATTTGTTAAAAAAAAAGTTTAACTCCCTTGCTTTGGTACTCTAAGCCTTTATTGACGAAAGTGAAGATCCTCTTGTTTTAACAACCTTATCAACTTGCCCCAGTACCAGATATTTATGTTCTGTAAGAGGTATTGCCCACAAATGAGTAAGTCAATCTAGAAAATTCTAACCAAAACGTATGTATTTCTAATTAAAGTTCGCATCTCAGCAACACAATTCTTTTGAAATCTGCATTTTTACGTAGATGCAGTTAATGCCAACTCACTCAACTTTGATTCAAGATCAGCTGGAATGAGTAAAAATTCAATCACAATTCTGAGCAGTATCATTGACACAAGGATTGTGAATAAGACAACGAGCACATGCATATTATGCAAAGCTAATTACCACAATGCTCCAAATTCACTTATCAAAATTTGGTTTTAAGTTATAATTTAACCACTTATTTCTGGTGAGCAAGTGAGGCAACCCCCTAACCATTTTTAGGGTTATAGCATACATAGCTGGGAAACACTACAGTTTCGAAGACAAGTTATAAGGTAAACATTCAAAATTAGTCATGACGCTCGTGAACACTTCAATGCAAAGTTGGTAGACATCAAGTATACCAAAACCATCCTTTTCGCACATCAGCTTTGAATGAACAGGGATGCAGCAAAATTCCAGCCTTATCCACAAGTAATGTAAAAGGACACAAAACACTGCTACTTCATTCCGGATGGAATAAAAGTACTCAAATGAATTAAAACAAACTTTAACATTTCAAAAGAAAGAAAATTTTGACCTCTTGATGTCCACATTAATAAAATAACAAGTAACAAATTGCCAACCATGACTTAGTCATTAACAAGTTCACTTTGGTATCAGAAAGTCATGGCTCTGAGACCTACTCCAAAGAACTGAACACAAAATCTAGCCTGACATTCTCAAGGCAGCACAGCGTCACTTTAGGATCAGTGCTGAGGGAGCATGTGAGTCAATCTAGAACTGGGGTCACACTTTAAAACTAAAAGGCCTTCCATAGTGATGAGGAGGAATTTCTTCTGAGATTCACAATCTTTGGAATTCTCTTCCACAGACAGACCAGTTAGACTGGGCCACTGAACATACTGAGAGCTGAATTAGATGGATTTTTGATTGAAAAAAAAAGTTAAAAAATTACAGGCAGGAAAATGAAGTTAAAGCCATAACCAGATCAGGGAGTGTCTTATCAAAAGATCAAATATTCTATTCTTGCTCCAATTTCTTATGATCAATGGAGAGGACGTCACCAGAGGTGCTGACTTTCAGGTGCAGGGTTAAATATTGAGAGCAAAGCTACATTCTCAGTGGAAACATGGAACTAAAAAAAAACAGTTCTCTTAATGTCCTATCTAAATTTTCCCTCAACCACCATCAGGAACAACAGATTAAAATGGTAATTTATCTCATTACTATTTGTAGCATTTTATTCAAAAAAAGTTAGGTCACAGAGTACAGATGAAAGTTTTCATGGTTCATATCAAATGGAATTTGAAACATTAGAGGACGGACAGTGTAGATGCACCAGGATGATGTCACTGATGGGAATTATAGCTTTCAGAGACTTCTGATACTTGGACTACTGCCATTACAACAAAAAAGGCAGAGAAAATTTAGTAACAGTGGGGAAGGCAGTGATAAAAGTCCTCCATTATAAATTCGTTGATGTATAAGGAATGAAGTTTGGAGTGCTTTCTTTTTGCAGAAGGTTGTTACAGCATAGTTATAATGCAGTACTAGATCCGTTTTAAAAGGGATAATCCTTTAATCATAGAATCTTTCAGCACAGAAGGCCACCATTCAGCCAATCACGCCTGTGCCCTATCCTTTCAATTATAAACAATTAATTTCCTAAGAGTATTACCGTCAAATCTGTTTCTAACATCCTATGGATCAGTTGTCAGCATTGTCGCCTCAAAATAAGGTGATGGGGAGTTCAAGTCCGACTTCAGAGACTTGAGTCCATAACGCAAGCTTCAGTACAGTCCTGAGAGGAGTGTCAACTTTAAGATTAAAGGTCAAACTGAAACTTCAGCTTTTCCATCAAATAGACACTAAAAAGTATAGATTGGCTAGTTCGTTGGCAGTAAAGTGTTTTGGAATGCCCTGAGCTAGTACAAGCTGCTACAAAAATTGAAATTTCTTTACAAAACAACATGGTGGCTGCATTTCAAATAAAAAGTGGGAGAGAGTGTTCTCAAGGGCTTATCAAATGCAGAGATGACATAACTTGCCAACAGCAGGATGATGGTATAGAATCAAAGCACAGGATATTCAGACCATCATTCTTGTGCCAGATCTTTGAAAGAAATTATTCCCAATGTTCTATTGTTTACCCGTAGCCCTACAATGTTCCTTCCTTGAACTACTGAAACTGCTTCCATTACCCTTCCAGGACAATTCTCCAACTAGCTCTCCTCCCCAACCCCCACCCCTTGCCAGATCTTTTACTAATTACATTACATGTGCAATATCTGGTAACTGACGTTTTTGCCCATAATCAACTTCTCTCCACCACAGGGCTTCCTAAAGTGGAGTCAGGCTCCCACGTGCGGCCAGCAGCTGAGCTTTTAGGCTATAATGGTCACCCTGGAGTCCTAACCAAGTTACACAGTTGTGCTCCCCCTCTAACAGGTCCCTGCTCTCACAAATCTCCCATCTTCCCCACTCAGAGGTTAGAACAATACAATTCAATTTTCAAGCCTTAAAAGTGGGCCATAGTGGACCATAGTTTAGGATGTGCCGCCCTATCAACTGCACCAAAAAGTCTTCATACCCTATCAAGTTACAGTTGTACAGGCATTCTTTGAATAGAGGTGGTGTAGGAAATATTTAATGGGTGGTGTTACAAAGTTACAAATTATTTACAGCACAGGAAGCAACTATACAGGCTCAAATTCTTGACGACATTTAAATTCCGTACTGGCTTCATCCCACCTCCCAAATATTGTCAAATCATAGAGGAGGAGAAACTGGTTCCAGTGGCACAGGCAAAGGACAAAGATCTAAGATAACTGAAAGAATTATACTAATAGGTTCATGTCACAAAAGAGGAGAAAAATAAAAACTTTTCTGAAGAAGGGTCTAGGCCCGAAACGTCAGCCTTCCTGCTCGGCCTGCTGTGTTCATCCAGCTCTACGCCTTGTTATCTCAGAAAAACAAGGCACTGGTTTTGTCATGCAGCAAGTTGTGATGCAAATGCACTGTTGAAATGATGCTCAGGATGACATCAAATCAATTGTAACTTTCAAAAGTGAACTGGATAAACTTGTTAGGACTCTACAATAGCCGTTGCAGCCTAAGAGCTCATGACAGTAAAATGTCAGCTCTTGATCCTACAAGCAGGTCTGATGCCACTTTAGGAAACCTTGTAATGGGGAGAAGTTGTTTAAGGGCAAAAATATCAGTTACCAGATATTCCGCATTTAGGTAAGTAAACCTGTTTTCTCTAGAATTTACACAGTTATGGGGAGATCTGATCGAAGTCTTTCAGATATTAAGATGAATAGACAGAACAGAAACTATTTCCACTAGTTGGGGATTCTAGAACTAGGAGGCACAGTCTAAGAATAAGAGCCAGGCTGTTCAAGAAAGACATTAGGAAACACTTCTACACACAAAGGGTGGTTGAGGTTTGGAATAGTCTCCCTCAAACAGCAGTGAATCTGGATCCGTTGTTAATTTTAAATCTGAAATAGTTAATTTTTTGTTAAGCAAATGGTATATAGAGTTAAACCACAGAGTAGCAATGATCTCATTCAATGGTGGAACAGGCTTGAGGGGCTGAATAGCATATACCTGTTCCATGGGTAAGTACCGAAAGGGGAAAGCATCTGCTGGTAATGGTGCAGGAATGGGGAAACAGGACCAGGCTGGAGAGCTCAAACAGCCTGCAATGGCGTGATGAGCTGAATGACCTCCTTTCCTGTGCTGGAGAATTGAGAGGGAATTTGATTCATCATTTCTCTAAAGCTCATCCAAATTCATAAAGTTGAAATAAAAATGTTTAAAAAGTTAAAATAAAAATTAATATCGTAATCATTTGTTTAAATAAAGAACATGTTTGTACAAGAGTTAGAAAAGTCAATTAAGTTTGAACAAGATGCATATAAGCAGATTATAACTTCAAACTTAAAGTCATGAAGTTTGAAAAGTTGAGTTCAATAAGTTAAAGGCATCAAGTTTCAATAACCTATAAAGTCATCAAGTTCAAATGGCAAATTAGACTGTTTAAGTTTAATGATTTTATCAAGGTTTCAATAAGTTATAAAATGTTAAAACAGTGTCTAACGAGTTAAAACAGTGTCTAACGAGTTAAAACAGTGTCTAACGAGTTAAAACAGTGTCTAACGAGTTAAAACAGTGTCTAACGAGTTAAAACAGTGTGAAGCTCAATAACTAATTTTCAGGAAATTAAATCTGAACAAGGTAAAAATATATTAACTTTGAATGACAAATTGTGAAAGCTATTAGGTTTGATTAACAGTTATAAAAATATCAGGATTTTAACATGTTCTAAGATAAGAACTTACTAATTAGTTGAAGAATATTAGATTTCAACAGTTTAAGTCGTTATAGTTGAACAATTTAGAAACATCAAGTTTGAACGATAACTTATGAAGTTAAATTTGATTAGCAAGGTTTTAAACTTTGGAATTTGAATAATTTATAAAGAAATTAACTAGGGTAGAGTTGTGAAAATATTAAGTTTCAATAACTATTTTCCAGGACATTAAGTTTGAACAAGTTACACAAAGATGTTGAGCAGTAAGCCGGGGGTGTACACTTACCGCCTGCAGCGTGCTTGTTCTGCTTTGATCCCCGCTCGCAGCTCCTGGAGGAGAGTCCACATTGTTGGTTGCGGCCCCGGGGTTGCTGCTCCTGAAGCCGACCTGCGAGTCCTGCTGTACGGCTGTAGTAGGAGGCGGTGGTGGCGGAGGCTGAGGCTGGGGAGGCCGCTGCTTGCCGGCCCGCTTGTTCTTCGCCTGTAGGCAGCGCTGGTGGAGGGCCAGGCTGTGCTGGCGCTCCAGGTCCAGGCGCTCGGCCGAGGCCCGCTGGTAGCGCGCCTCGCAGGCCGTGTGGTGCCGGCGGCACAGCTCGATCCGCTTACGGAGCCGCTCAACCACGGCGCTGTGCCGCGGCAACACGAACTCGGCCATGGCGGCGGCGGTTGTCTTCAAGACTTTACCCCTCTCTCCCCCTCAGAAAGCCGGAGGGAGGAGGGGAAAGCCACTCATCAACAGCCGCCTTCAGATTCAGGAAGCACGGAGTCAACGGGAAAACTCTTCGCTTAGACTCTTCTCCATTTTCTTTTTTATTTTTGTTTTACCTCAGACCATCATCGACGGACAGACAACCGATCGTGAAGGTGATTGACAGGCCTCGGCAACCAGTCGCACAGCGGGAGGGGCAGTGCCATCTCATGATTGTTGTTCCCCTGAGCCAATGACCGGATAGGAAGGTGGGCACCCGTGCTTTGATTGACGCACCTTCAGCCCGATCAGATGAGAGAGACTGAGAGTCACGACCTATCGGTTACGGGGTGGTGGACGGACACCGCCTACTTCCATTGATTGACGGTCGGTTTGACCACTCCGAAGTAGCTTATCAGATTATCACCAATCAGTTAGAGGTAGGCGGGCGAATATTTCCGTATTATCCAATTGCGATGTGGCAGCCAGCCTCGATGGACGTGCCATCGCACCAACCCGAAAACAAAGTTTTCAAATCCAAATGAAGCAGTATCCAATTACAGAGGGGAGGCGTATACTTCCACTCCCTAGGAGAGTAAGGGAGCTGAAGTTTGTTTCATCTCTTTCAAGGCTCCTTATTCGACTTAACAGTAATCTAGATCTATGACAAAAAATGCTGGCCATTTATTTTTATGATCAACATGCCTGAGTGTCACTTGACGGAAAGTGAAGTCGAACCAATGAACTGGACTGTTGTTTGTAAAATAAAGAGAATTTCATTTCTACTATTAAACTTTTTCGTACCAAAAAAAAATCAAAACCCTCAGCCGTTTCCTCCAAAGGAAGGAAAAATGGGAATTTGGACGAATTGGGCCCTGACTTCATTGACGGGTCACAGGGTCACGTCCTTGCCCAACGCATTCTGGGAAATATAGTTTAGCTAACAGCACAGATTAGAGAAACAGGACACATTCTTAAACTTTGCACCTAAAATCTTAGACTAGTTTTGAACTGTAAGGAGGATTGTAATGGAACTTCTGCGGGGGTAGAGAAATGGACATAGTGCAGATGAAATTTGATGAACAGTTTGAGGCAAAAATTGGAAAGGATTTCAGCCTAGCAGAGGGACCTGCATTAATGATGATACAACCAACTCAGAATACTGGAAAAAACCACCAGCTCTGGCAGCGTTATGAAAAGAGATAGAGTGTTCAGATCAAGTCCAATACTAATTAACTCTGAAGTCATCATACTTGACTTGCTCTGGTTAGTTCTCTCTCTCTCGCTAGCACTTTCTCTGCTTATCTCAGATTTCCAGCAATGTTTTGCTTGTGATTCTGACTTTTACAAATAAAGGCTTAGACTATAACAGCAAAGTTAATTACTGGTTAGGCATCAACTTGTTTTATTCATGCACAGGACACTGGCATCTTGAACCTGGTCAGCATTTATTGAGCAACTAAGGATGAGCAAGAAAGTAATAGAGAGATGTCTTATTAAGCTGGAATATTCTCACCCAAGCTCCTGCAAAAAAAAATTGACAAATATTTCCAAGGCTAGGAAGGAGACTTCACTTTCTTAGGTAGATTCAACGTTAGGTTGCATGTTCTCCTTTTAGGAGAGAAGGTGAAGTAACAAGTTAATAGAACTATTTGAACTGATGAAGGAATATTAGAGGAAAAAGGGGTGAAACTATTTCCAATCACATGCAAAATCTGATATTCCACTTGTGACAGCTGAGACAAAGATCCCATGGCACTCTTGGGATCTCAGCAAAAAAACTAATCATTTTTTGTCTCATTGTTATGTGACACCCTGCTGTGCAAAAATTGCTCATCACTATCCTAGCATTGCAAATGTGGCCACAATTCGAGAGAGTCACTGGCTGCGTTTCTACTTTGCAATTTGGAATGGTGTTTCTCTAAGACGTGACATAAATAGGTTTGTTCATTTTAAAATGCCTCAAAAACACATGATTGAACTAATTCACACTCTTGAGCAGTTAACTAGTTGTTCCCTATAATCAATTCACAGTACTCTTGGATTAAGTGACATGCAACCACCTCTCTCAAGAAGTCCAGTCCTCCATTCATTTTCCTCTTCCAATAACTCAGGGCCCTAACAAATGTCTATACCACTCACATGGTCTCACACTGTTTATAGCAAGTGGCTAACCTCTGAGCCATGAGGCCTGGGTTCAAGTCCCAACTGCTCCAGAGCTATAGAATATCTCTGAACAGGTTACAAATCGATATTAGTCCGGAAGATGTCTAATATTAGAAACTAAGCAGGCCGCAATCTGGTTTGTGCTTGGGATTACCAGAGTGCTGTAGGTTGTCATTGATGGTGTACATAGCTGCCTTCCAAGCAGTTGACCTGGGTTTGATACTGGTTGTTGCAGTTTGCCTATTTGCAACTTTCTCTAACCCAAAACTTCTGGCATGCCTCTAGGTCAGATTTGCCTATAACTAGATTTAAAGGGCTCTTGTGATGCAATGGTCATGTCCCTACTTCTGAACCAGGAAGCTTAAGTTCAAGGCCCACCTTTAATAACATTTCACAACATCTTTGAACAGGTTGATAAATAAAATCTACAACAGGATTACAGACCCCATAAATTGATATTTCAGAAGCCCTTAGTTCAAGTCATAAATCACACTTACTGCAAAGGTATAGAATAACATTGCAAACAGGTTCATTAGAAAATATCTATAACAAATGGTTACAAGGAAAGGCAGGGGTATAGTGGTTAATGTCACTGCACAGGTAATCCAGAACTTGAGGCTAATATTTTGGATGTAGGGCCTCAAGTTCCCAACATGTCAGATGGTGAAGTTTTACTTAGGCCAGGAGGCCCAGATTCAAGTCCCACTGCATCTGCAGCAGTGGTGTTGCGAACAGACAGCTGAGGTCTCCTGGAATGAAAGATAAGCAGTGGACTCAAAGACTACTGAACTTCTAACTTATTTCTTAATTTAAACTAGGAAAATAAAGGAAGACTTTAATGTTAAAACTATTACCTTTATTTTTCGACTCATTCCATGAAGAAATGCTTAACTTTTCAAACTCTTACTTTGTACCTTGGTACCTGAGATAGCACCTTGTGTGGTAACATTATACATTTCACTATACCTATGTACAGACGATAGTAAAATCTAAACCTAATCTAACAGGTTTTGAACACCATCCCTGAACAGATTGATTGAAAATACCTATAACAAGTGGCCTTCCTCCTCCCATATCAACATTGGATTCATATTCCACTGTTTCCTCCACCGACACCAAGGTTAATACACTCATTCCAACAAGGAGTTCTCCTCCCACTTAGTATTCGCTCCACCTCCCAAGATATTCATCCAGCACCTTCTTCACTCAAATCTCCATCCAGGTGCAAAAGAAGATTTGTTCAAGCCAATCTACCCATGACTCCAATCATTCAATATGCAGATTCCTGTCAAATCATCTGTTGTAAACTGAATGGTCATCAAGTTCAGTTGTCTACATCCTAAGATTCAAATGATAAAGCAGGGAAGTCAGTAAAATGAAGAGCCTGGACATCTGTTTTAATTTTTGTTTTGTTTTTTTTTAAAGTTGCAGGAAACAATTTTCACATGATTTTGCATTTACATTTCTGGAAGAGAAGTACTTAAACAGTTTGACCCCAGGTGGAGTCAAGTCAATGTTGTCTGACACTCCAAATTCTCTACAATCAGCTCTTTAAAGCTCAGAGTATCTCTGTGGAAAGACGGGTCCTTTATGTGCTACCTACAAATCAATTGGTTAAGAGTGTCCAGACTACTCTAAGGTCATTCACTAAACAGGGTGAAGACCGTTTAAAAGATGGCAAAGTGAGCTTTTTTTAAACAAAACATTGAACATCAGAGCACAACATAACATTAAGAAAACATTTAATAACAGGATAAGTTAAAAACCAGTGAGCATATTTTAATAACTCAATTTAAATTTACTTAGGTGAATTTTCCCCATATGGATGTTCAGACGTGTCTTTGACTGGCAATGGATTGGAGAAGCATTAACCAGAATGGTCAATCTGTCACTTGAAACTTACTGATAAATCTACCAGCACAGAAGCAAAGGACTTCTCTTACAACATATTAGTATGCAAAAAGCATAATCATAGCAAAAACAAGGGATGAAATTATCTTGTGTTACCGTACCACTGTCAACAATTTCCTTCTGTAATTATGACTTGGACATACTTTAATTGGAGTGCCTGTTGATACTCTGCTATAGGCTGCAATGGCAGAAAGATGGTTTGGTTACCATTACAAACTTTCATTTCTACCACTGTTAGCTGCTGCCATGGTGATTAGCACACCACCCTCACTTGGGAATCAAGGTTCTTATAAAAGTTTTACATCGGGGACAGGGAAGAAAAATAACATGGTTACATTGCTCATCACATTCTGGAAAAGCCAGCAAGATTCTCAGCTGGGGTCCTGGGTCGGCCATGGATTTTGTTTTGTTATTCTACACAAAATCTTGAGTAGGCTCCAGAGGCCTCTTATTGCAAGCACACTGCAACTAGAAAAAGGCCACATTTGCCATATTTTCTCAACTGAAAACAAAACACATCAGTATTCCAATAAATTTTGGCAGTGCAGTGTTCCCATTGCAACTGGATTATCCCATCAAAAATGAAAGCTCACATGCAGTAACTCATTTAATAAGCTTCATCCACAAAACCACACAGTTCAATAAAGCAAACAAACAAAATTGAATCAAATTAGGAAGTTACAATATTTAGGAAGCCCAGCCAAGAGTGGGGGTATATGGATCAGGGGCACGGGCACTACAGTCATCTTGTCAATGTACCTTCATACACTTCTTCAAATCAATGGATTCAACAGCAATAGCAGCAACAAGAAAATATTTGAGAATTCAGTGCAAGAGAACATGGCTAGCAGAAAACGTTAAGGAGCAGAAAGACCACACAGTTTGTTTGGGCAGGGCATTATGCGGCCTTCTTTGTAGATTGGTGTATGCACATCCGTTTACAAGTACTGCCTCTCCCACAAACCTGCCATCAAATTTATTATATTACGTATTATGGCCTTACAGCTTGCTGTGCTAATTAGGGATTATCCAAAAATAAAGTATAGCAAATCTATTATTTTTATCCAAAAGATTAATACCAAAAATCTGAGGCGCTCCAAACTGGCCAAA